ACAAAAAATGTAACTTTTTGCTATTGTTTATGGCATAACTCAATAATTATAGCAGCTACACAAAAAATGATTGCATATTTGAAATCTGCATGAAAAACTATACTAATAACAAACTTTTCAAGTCTCTATTACTAGAAATAAAAAAAAAACTTTTTCGAGGAGCGTCTCCCCTTAACTTGTCCTCTTAGCTCAAAATATGTTCGTGTAATACACACGTGCACCAGCAAGATGCATCAACCTTTCCACAAGCACCGTAGAAAGGGATGAGTTGATTGCACGAATTTGGGATGTCAACATAGTTTTCTTTCTGCCGTGTGGTAGATTTTTTTTGTACGCACTGTTTATTGTGATTCTCAAGGTCAAGAAAATTTCAACAGCATAGGTAAAAAACACAGACAAAAAAGAGCCAACACAGACAGGGGCTGTCCGTTCCTGTTTTTTTTCTGCGCTGTTAAGTCTCCTTGACGATAAACAACCAGCTCGCCCAAACACTCGCTATAAATAGTAATTCTGAAGAAATGAGTTCTGACGGTGTCAGACATATGCGGGTCATAAGGCCACTTCCTTGTGTTGAGGGGTGACAAATAACAGCAATAATGGCTTGCTTTCCTTTTCTGCTTTAGCCAAACAATATGGCTTCATGCTTTACTACATGAATGAGATGCTGGATGCTGCTAGAGAGATAAGAAAACTGTAGCAGGTTTAAAACGAATGCTCGCTACTGGGTCGAAAAGCTTTAGAGGACAAACTTCTTAAGGAAAACTACATTTGTGACAGACATGGAATCAGCATTCACAGGAGCCTGGCAAGTAAAACTTAGTCAAATAAATTATAGATAAACTACAATTACCTGTCCGAAGTGTGGTGGTTTACTGTAAATCGAAAATTATTTAGCAGTTTTTCATGTAGGTCACACTATTACTGTTGTTGATAAGAAATCAAGAGCATCACAAATCTCGTTGGGTCAAGACAAAACACGATGAAACATGATAAATTTTGTCAACAGACATTTTCACTGGGTCAAAGCAGTGAATAATGAGCAGCTTGGGTCGAGACTGGTAGAGGAATGAAATCATCCTCTTTATAGCACTGTATATGTGAGAAGGTTATTTCGCGAGACTTATAATCTAGATATGAATGCTGCTCTGAAGGTGAAACACTGTAAAAGATGTGAAAAGGAAAGTGAGCGATGTATAAACACTGATTGTGACAGTAGCTTATGACTACATGTAAATGCATATTGTACACAACCTTTCAGGTGCACTGAGGTCAACTCCAGGACAAGTGACGGCATCAGGTGCCAATGGGTAATTACTTCCTTGAACTCTTCGAATGATGCGGCAGAAACTGGTAAAGTTATTTCTTTGATGCATGCTTCCAAACTCCACAGTGTATATGCATTCGGGATAGTGGTCCTGCAAGTTAATCTTGGGCATCCCCTAGAAACAATACAGATAACTTGTATTAAACACTTCTCATTTTATGTATGGTCCAGTTTATAATAAACACAATTATATGCCTTTCAGAACGACTAATGGGCAATTTATAAGACGGTAGCTGAAACGAACAACTTAGAAACAAGTTATAACCAGCTGAAAGAACACTTTTTTTTTTCCATAGATACTGACGATTAGGGTGACCCAAACCCTCGCTTCGCTGAATTTTTGGATAGATATGTGGGCTTCAATGTCCCAAGACCACCATATGATTATGAGAGACGCCGTAGTGGAGCGCTCTGGAAATTTCGACCATCTGGGGTTCTTTAACGTGTACCCAAATCTGAGCACACGGGCCTACAGTATTTTCGCCTCCATCAAAAATGCAGCCGCCGAAACCGGGATTCAATCCCACGACCTGCGGGTCAGCAGCCGAGTACCTTAGCCACTTGACCACCGCGGCGGGCCATGCTAATTTTTAGGCGCGCTCTGGTAACGGAACACTATGGGCATTTTGAGCAAGACAAACCACGATCACTCTCCAAGAGGTAAAACCGAAAAAAAAAAAAAAGAAAACTGACGCCCTAATTTATCGTTGCATGCAACAACGCAACTTTGGAAATGAAGTTACATACGTGTTCCTTGGCTTTTTCAATGAGACAAGAAAGATTCACGCTGTAAGGGTACCACTTTCCGCTGTTTGTCTGCCACTCCCAGCTGATACCTTTCGCCGGTGCACTGTCGAGGGGATAAAGGTTTCTTCGTACAGGCGAAGTAGAGCCTGCAATGGCGTAACGCAGAGGCATGCTCACAAACTCGCATCTGGGACTCCGATGCTGCAAGGATCACGGAAATGATCTGTGCTTACAGTGATTCTGTTCGTCGCCAAATACTTGCTGCATTTTAACGACATCGACGAAATGAGCTTTCACGTCTCTGCATGCGATGTCGAGGGGTATTTTAATTTCATCTTTGCTTTCCGACTTTATCCTAGCGCGTTCAAGCTTCTCGCACGTCTCCGGAGGGTACGCCGTCCACGTTCCCGAGAATCGGACGTATTCCCACACAGCTACGGATAGTGTCACAGCAGTTGCCATAGTCTGGAGTTCTCGGCGGCTTATCAGAACTTTACGTCTTGATCACCTACCAAGGCCTATACTGTCTCAGCTCGTACACATGGTTCTGTTTCCACGGCCAGCTTACCGCTCACGCTGCCGCCGATGCTTTTCTTTGTTTTCTTCCTTCATGTTTGTTTCTAAACATGTGATACAACGCCTCCTCTAGAATATGCCTGCCGCATGAGAAGAAAAACGGCGGCTACACCCTTTCTCTCTTTTATTTTAGAATGAATGGATGGATATGGCTGTATCCTTTAGATTGGGCGGTGGCTAGCGCCACCAAGCCGTAATGCCTAATGAACCCAAAATTTTATTTATTTTTTTTCCTTAAAAAGTGAGTTTGAGGATTCGTACTTTGCAGTGAAGAGTTTAATTTTCACTCGTGCTTTGACTTTAACCACCAATCAGATAACCTCCTTCTAGTTAAGTCTACTTGCTTAAAGTCTATTTTGCCCTCCCGGTCCCTAAACCCCAGTGCTTTGAAAAACTCTGCGCCATCACCCTGAACTATAGGGTGAAGCCCTTTACAGAACATTATCAACTGTTCGGCAGTTTCTTCTTCCTCTCCACACGCACTGCATACTGTGTCTACCCCTTCCTATTTGGCCCGATATGTCTTGGTTCGCAGTACTCCCGTCCTTGCCTCAAACAGTAGAGAACTACCCCGAGTATTATCATAGATCCTTTCCTTGGCAATTTCCTGCTTAAAAGTTCGATAGATCTCTAGTGCGGACTTCTTAATCATGCCCATTTTCCACATGTCAGTCTCCGTTTCCTTCACTTTCTTCGTAACCGATAGTTCTTTTTGGTTTGGCCACCTGCTGTTTTCTAAGTATTTACCAGTCAACTTCCTGGTTCGCTTCCTCCATTTTGCATCGACATTCTTCATGTACATGTAGAATGCTCTCGGTCGCTAGCGTCACCTGTGGCGGACGGTGCAACAACGCAACACTTTGCATAGCCTCCGAATTAGCGATGTACAATTGCAGGTCTCGAACACCTCTCGACTGACGCGCCCCTATGGGCTGCTGGTGAAAAACGCTTAGCTGGTACCACCCGTCGCCGTGATAACAGGGTAGTACACACATTTGTCTAATATTCACGGAGGAAAGAAAGGTCCTCCGTGTCTAATAATAGTACTTCTGGCCTGCTTTTGGCTCCGTGTGTGTTTGTGTGGCTTGGAGCTGTTTTCTCACGAAAAAAGTATTAGCAAATGTTTAGTAATTGCGCTTCACTGCCACATTTTTTTCAGATTACTTTTTCAAATTAGCTCATGAAGTTCAAAAAGGTTCGTTCTTTCTTTCAAAACAAAACGGTAACCAGCAATAAACGAAGCCGCAAGTACGAAGACCAAGCAAATGTGTGTACTACCCATCATTAGAGGTTTGCGCCGACTGGTCGGCGCGCAGCCGCCGCCGCCGACGCGAACTGATCGGCGCGCCGCCGCCGACGTTTTTCATCGGCGCAATCGGTGCGCCATTTATGCGCTAGTACCGACTTTTCACAGATTTGTCTTTTTCTTTTTCTTCTTGATTTATAGCTTCGTTTCACATTTTGTGTAGCCAGTAAAAACCAGGCTTCTTAGTTATCTTCATCCAGCTTCAGAGACCAAGAGTACCACTATGAACAGCGGCACAAGTTCGGCGGCCCCTGCATGAAATGATATATTCGACGAATTAACAAAAAATAAATGTAATATTGTGTAGTTCTTCACCTAACGCGCTGCATTCGTGCTGCACTGCTACCACTTCACTTCTTCTGTGTATACGCCCTGTTTCGGGCACGATCATAGGCTGCCATCTTGGACTGATAATGATGCCGTTTTACATCCATATGAATATTATATATACGTTGATGGTAGCATCATGGAAGCTTGATGGGAGCTTCTGAGAGCTGGTTCAGAGCGTCTCGGTGCTCGCGCTTTACGCCCTGGTCTTCCCAAAATTCTCTGCAGGTGAAAACAATGGACAGCTTGCAAATATAGGCAGCTTTTCTGTACGGTTAGTTTTTCAACCAAGAACTTTCGTTCACAGACTGCTTTTCTCACTCATTTCGTTTTTGCCATTCCTTTTTTTTTATATCTTGTTGTGCTCGCGTGCCTTCGCTAGAATTCGGAGAGGTGACATTTTGTTGTACTCGCGTGCTCAAAATGAGAAATAAAAGCAGTCTGTGAACGAGATGAACGAGAGTTTTTGGTTGGAAAACAAACCTTACAGGAAAGCCGCCTTGCAGATCACTGTAGACTGACAGACTGCATGTTCATTCAGGTCAGGGCAGTCAGAAGAAATTGTCGTCTTCATCTCTGTCCGCCAAATGGGGGGGGGGGGGGGGTAGTGGTTGGAAGAAGGCGCCTAATTTCTGCAGCCCAGCAGGGAGCGCAGGGCGCAGTGAATAAGGATTAAAAAATCGAGAGAGGGAGAAAGAGAGAGAAAGTCAAACACTGCATTTTTTTCAACCCAAGAAAGAGAGAAGGTGCACGTTCAGTTCATCACACGGCGAGAGAGAAACATAACGTAGGTCACAGTGCAATAATACGCACAACATATCTCTGTGCAATAACATTGCATCGCAAGCGCAAAATAGGGTCTGTAGCGCAAAATAGTGGCTGCAATGGAAGACTTCCAAGCACCACAGAGTGTGGCAAACATACCTGACGAGGGATCCCATGCTCTCGGCTAATTGTTCAGCGCGTCTCGTGGCACGCGGAACAAATCAAGCAGCCTCGATTTCAAACAGCTCTTCCTAGGCCGTCAGTCAGTCAGGCGTGTCCAAAGAGTTTTTGACGAGGGGAGCCAACAGCCCTAAAGAATTCGAAGTATGACTTTCGTGTTGTCGCCGCTTTTGGCCCACCTCGAGAGCATTGATCCGGAACAAATCAGGGTAGGCTTAGCTGCAATCATCCTCCGCGTCCAAGCGGCGCCCAGCCAGGGAGGCCGATCTTAACATCTTTTAGACACACGCACATAAGCACGCACAGTTTCGCTCCAAGAGAGAATTGGTAGTGGTCGCATTGACGTACGTAACGTGCATCTACTATAAAAAGGCGTGCAGCGTATGCGATAGCTTTTTTTTTTCGAAAGTCTTGTAATTCTAGTATATTTTCATTATATAGCCGAGGTATGAGGCGGTTGTTACTCGCGTATATTTGGGTTAAAGTACTACAAATATTTATTCGCCGCGCATGACTTCTAGAAATGATACTCCGAGAAAAAGGAAATCGCTCCAACATTTTCGAAACTAAGTTTGCTCGTGGGAGTACTTGTTCTCTGTCTGCGCTTTTCCATGGTTCATAAGTGTTAAGCCCCACTGCCACTTCTATAGAATGGTGTACAATAAGCCGTATCAACGCAGTTACAGGAATTTCTAGACTACCAAGCATACGATCACCAGGCATTTTCCCTCCGGCATATTTTGATTAAAAGAAGCGACATAGTTTTGCTGAAAACCCGATTTATGCACTGGGGCCCGGTGCACAGATGCTGCATGTTGCAACTCTTGATAATGGCGAGTGCGAAGACGGCAAGTAAAGGCCTCTATGCTATTGTCTGTGCGTCCGGTGTAACGAAAACATCTAGTCTTGAGAGTGTTGGATTGAACCATGCACTTTGCCCATTGTTATTTTTCATCATGGCGTTTCTGAATAAAATTTTTGAGTGGTTCTATGTGGAGCACGCGACAGTAGTGCCGATGTGCTATTTGGTGCTGGTACAAAGAGAAAACTAGCTTGCATCTCTTTCAATGAGTCCTTGAATTAACCTTATTCTAGGGGGCTGCATAGAAGACTATACGCCTGACACACTTGGAAAAGTAAAACACATTATAAGAGACCACTTCTGCTAATTGAAGGACTTATAGACCATCACCATCTAGACTGTGGTGCTCTGCAGAACTAGATGTTGACCCAATGATGTGCCGCATTAGGTTCTAAATTTAACATTGATGTGTCCAGACCGAAATATACTCAGCGCATTTGCTAGCAGCCTGCCATGTGCACCGACTGTAAGTTTTTTTCAAAACAGCTTTTTTGTTGTTTCTAGTTAGTTAAATAATTTTGAATTGGCGTTCTACTGATCCCAGTCCTCGAACGCGTTTAAATGAAGGTGGTTGGTTGATACCTTAAGCAATGCGTCCTAGCATTAAGTGCAAGCTCAGCAGATACGAGAAACATCTAGACAACATATCCAGCTCTCTAAGTACTTATTCAAGTTATTTCCGTGCAAGTATTAGCTTTAGTCATAGAGGAATTCGAATACTTTTAGACTGCACCACGTGGACATCCTGTGACACTCTGAAAGGATACCGACGTGTCAAGCTCCTCGTTAATTACACCCGTACATTTGTGAATTGATACAGCACAACGATCATGCAAAGAATCAGCGAAAATAAAAAAAAAAAGGTATGCTTCGCGGCGGATAAGTTGCAATTATAAACCAACACATTATTAACTGGTTAATTAAACATGGTCCCTCAAATACTATTCAGTTAGTTCATAGCTGTGACTTCTCTGTCATGTAACATTTTTTTTTTAATTTATGGATTCTTTGCTTTTGTCGCACAGGTTGGTATCACTTCCCGGTAAGCGGAGAGCTGCACTTGGTTTAAATGCACCTGGGTAGGGTTCGCATTTATTGTTGACTAAAGCCATAATAATGTGGCACTCGAAATGCCAAAAATTAAAATGACGAACTTTTGGAATGCTGAAATTTAGAACACCGAAAAATCAAAAGATACCGAAAGTGTAAAATGTCAAAAAATCAAAACACCTAACTATCCAAACGCCAAAATATCAAAATGTCTGCGTCACCTATACTGAAATCTAGCTAAATTAGAGGTTACGCCAGCACACTCGTTCACCCTCATTTCCAGTTGTCCCTTTACATTTATCTCAAGCCTTCATAAAAATAGCAAACTGTAAATTTTTCCTCCTCCAATCGCACATCAAAGCGATTTCTTGCTTATCGATAACAGTTTGCTCTGTAAGCAGTGGGGTTGTCGCTCCCTTGACGATGTCTTCAAGTCTGGCTTGCTTCCTCTTCATGGTAGCATTAAACCAAAATTGCAGGGCTGTCGTAGATCACTTTCTTTGATATTGTCATGCGAGTACCTTCTACAGGAAGGTCGGTAGTCACTCTGGCGTTGCAGTCTTTTCACTTCTCGCACCTCCAATAGTGCCTAGAATGCACCTTC